CCACGAGGATTTTCAGCAACAGGTCGTTGTGCTGGCAGATGCACACGACGGGTGACAGCTTCAGTAAAATGGGGCCTCCTGGCAGGCCTTTCAGCATTCCTTCCATTCACAGGAATGGCGGTATTCCTTGCAGCAATCGCCGGGAAGTCAACGCTACCAAACTGGATGGTAGCTCCGGCATTTCCGGTCTCAATAACAGCATTAGCCAGTTGAATCCTGGCTCCTCGTCCCAGTTGGACGGTCATCGGGGTGTTCTGTAGATCCATCTGCATAAATGAAAGGCAAGGGTTAGTAATCAGAATCTGATACATCACCCCGCACTTTCAAAATGCAGAGACTTGCACAGAACACAAAAATAAACAAAAATGATTAGCATAAGCAGATAATAAAATAATTTTAAAACTATGCTGAATGCCAAATGAATTTGTCAAATGATCATTGTAAAAGGATCAAAATTTTGAGTACGAGTTGAAATAGCTGCTACTATAGCTTATGAATGACTAGCCAGAGATGGAAAGAGAAACCAATCCCCAGCGTAGTCGTCAGAAATCTGTGGGCTCCGAAAATTCGACCTCGGCCTCCACTCTCTTTTCTTATTCGGCGAGGGAGTTTTAACGAAGTGAGAGGCGTCCAGTTGGCACGCGATTTGGGCAGATTTTCCGGGAAGAGATGCGCGGCGCCGATTCGTGGGATCTAGCAGAGGTAGGTTTTTCTTAGGCTTTTTTTATTTTGTTTTATCTTTGGCTTCTTTAACAGAGATCAACAGATGTATACATCTGAAAATATGGAAGGAGAATTTTAACTAAATTACAGAAAAAAATCGCTTTATACAATACACATTAAAAAAGTGGGAAATTATCATTTTTTTTGTCACTTACTTACAACATGCCTCATTGTAATGAATATGAATGGATACAGTAATAACCAGCTTCCTTGAAAGAAAAAAGGAAAGGAACCTTTCTTTTCTTTTTGACGTTTTCAAAGTAATTTTTTAACGTGTCCTATCTTTTTTGCTTTAGGTGAAGTTGGGATTTTTACCTTATTGTGTGAATGACTTTCAACTATGTCCAGCAGTGTTTGCAAAGATCTTGATTTTAAATTACCATCCAAGGTTCCTACCAAGAGCACGATTATATCAATAAGCCCTTCCATAGCAATCCAATACTTAGTGACCAAATTCTCTTTAATGACCTTTGTGATTTCACAAAAAGCATCATCATAAGCAGCACTGTTACCAGACTGCAAGATCTCCTTTGCTCGTCTAATTTTAAGGAAATAGTTCTGTTCTCTCCATTGCTGAATCGACTGTCTTACAGAAATGTTGGGTCTTAATGTTGTGTCCGCGAGAGGTTTTCCCGTGCAAGGATCTTCCTTACGCCCTTCTAAAAACCATGCTTCAATGGCGGCTTTTTCACATGTGGTTCCAGTGAAAAGATTGACAGGATCAACCATCACAGACTTGGTTATAGGGCATAAAAAAGCATCATATTCTAAAATTTTACCATTGCTTATTGCAGATTTCTCTACGGTGTTCCTTATTAGTTCATACTGCCTCCTTATTTCATCTTCATCCAGTGCAGCATCAGCATGAGATAACAATTCAATTACTTGTTTCAGGAAGATTTCTTCTTGCTTCTCTTTACGAGCAGCAGCCTCTTCCCTTTCCATCCTCAAGGAATCAAGTTCTTTTCTAATTTCTGCTGGCACAATGGAGACACCTACTGATAATGCTATTTGCTCTAACATGCTGTTTCTAAAGTTTTGGTCATGTTTTTGCTCTTTAATACCTTTATTCAGCTTCTCAAGGATCATTAAACTTGATTGAGAGGCTACATATTCAGCTTTTTGCATTTCAGCTTGCAATTTATTCACCATGTCAGATATTTCATACAGGACTTCAGTTTTGGCCAGTGGCAACATGGCTAAAGACTTCCCTATGGCCCTTGTTGCTTCTTGTATCTCATTCGCAATACGACGACAAAATAGAAAAGAGTAGAATCTTCCACTGTCCTTATACTTCAGCACTAAGTTTTCAGCATTATCACAATTTTCTTTGAGAAACTCCAACGTGTGTCTCACAGTTGGAGTGTCATTCAGTTCATGACGTTGCAGTTCCTCCAAGATTGGTACAATGTCTAAAAGATATTTAGATAACGTTTTGAAGCATTCTTTCTCTATAAGGACATTATCTATAGCCTTTGCCGTTAATATTACTTGTTCTATCAGCAGCGACAGAAATGTTCCAATTGGCACCAGCTCCAAGCCTGACATTTTGAGAATCTCCGAACTAAATACTCAGTCAAAAATGTTGGAATGACTAATTATTGTTATCAAGATTTCATTAAAATGCTATCAGAGCAACATTGAAGTGCAACCCAAGAAGAACCTTTCCTATATCCTCAAACCAAGGATTTCCCCAATGCAACGTGAGTATTCAATGAGGCTATGTAAGGAATACCTGCAATTAAAAAGGCAAAGAATAATAATTAGATATACTTCAGCCGCAGTAAAGGATCATAGTAAAATAACCCGGGTGCCAAAAAGATGCAATAGATCCACTGAAAATCAGGAGTCCGTGCTATTGTCAATATACGAAAGAAAGGGAATTTAGTTCTTGCAGAAGGAAATTGAAAAGACTGATGCTAAAAAAATATAAAAACTACGAAAGGGAGGGTGTGCGAGGAAATCCTGGAATAGCTTGATCTCTCTGTGCAAAGGGATCTTAATCATACTGTGGAGCCTCATTGCTGTAGCCTGTACCCCATATGTAGTGAACTTGAGTTGGCTGATCTAAACTCAAAAATTAAATTTAATAATGATGCTTTGCACAGCTAGACCTAGAATCTCAGATTTTCAAAAGAAGGTCCATCAACTCTATAAAAGAAATGCTAATGCCCCCCTATCTTTCTGCCCCGTCAAATCAGCTACTAAAAAAGAGAAGAAAAAAAAGAAAAGAAAAGAAGATGATGCAAAGGGAGGGGAAAAGAGAGAAAGAAGCAAAGAGGGAGAAAAAGGAGAGAGAGGAAGTGTTGAGAAAAGATGGAGCAGCAATGGGGAAGGAAGAATGAAGGTGTGAGAAAGGAAAAAAAATAACTTAGAGAGCGGTAGAATGGGTGAAAAAATGGAGTGTACAGGGTCACCACCACTAGATCACTAATCGCCACCAGCCCTATCACCCAGGTTTTGGGTTGGACAACATGAAGAGAGGAGGGGGGTATAGATGAAAAGACAGCAAGGCAGAAGAGAAGGTACAGTCGTTATGGTATATGATACTTCATAAGAAAAAGAGAGGGAGATGGAGGAAGGAGTGATGCAGAACAAAGCAAAGTGAAAAATTTCCTAATGCAAAACAAATACAATGAGATAAGACGCAATTTAAAGGTGCATAGCTCACAGAAAATTTTAAAAAGTCAATTTAATACTGACAATTATTTACTATTAGTGTTGTTTAATAGAAATAAGAAGGAATTAACAGAACAAAGCAAAGTGAAAAATTTTCTAATGCAAAACAAATACAATGAGATAAGACGCAATTTAAAGGTGCATAGCTCACTGAAAAGTTTAAAAAGTCAATTTAATACTGACAACTATTTACTATTAGTGTTGTTTAATAGAAATAAGAAGGAATTAAATTTGCAGAGACTGGAGATAAATCCCACACGATAGAAATTAAATTAAAAAAACTGTAATCATATAAAAAGCATAGCTAAAAATTGACCTTTTTGCATAAGTTCATAATCCAGTCATGTGATACATCTAAATAAATTCAGCCGCATAATGCAACAATAAATAAATAAAGAAGATAAAAAAGAATAATAGATTAAAGAAAACGATTTAGAACTGGATGAATGAGGGTGGCAAGATTTCATTAGCGCTTCTTTGAGCAACATACTAGGTAACGAAGAACAAAGAAAGGACTTAATATCAAAGATAAGTCTTCCATTAATCAGTAACTAAGTATATTTTCCAAAGTTAATAATTTCTTGTTTATAATAGGTTGGGAAAAACCAAAAAGATAAAAATTTACAGTTTCTCCCACCAACTATATCCTACAGAACACTTGGTACAACAAATCTTATGAACAAACTTATTATATTTATACATTGGGCACAACATACCGTACGTCATTCCTGTTCATAACTTATGATGACCCGAACATATGGTAAGATGACCCTTATGGAGCAAATATGTTCTACCCCTAGAAGCAAGCAAAGACAAGTGTCTAGATTCATCATCAATAAGATGATGGAACATGCCTTATGACTGGAATGCTTGTATCGTAAATTCAGTTGATTGTGGGTTAAATCTCTACTAAATTATTTCTATATAACCCAAAATGTATCTACTAGCTCAAATAAAAATTAAAAGATAATAGGACACAATGATGCTATTTCTTATTATCAATGTCAATATAATTGAAGCTTCGTATTAATTTTCCTTGATTTTGAGCATTTTTGCCCATCAAATGTCGATATTCCTCCAACTTATCCAAAAAACAAGTGATCTAGCTCGACCAAAGGTAGGTACCCACAAATCACCAATTGAAGGTTCACTCCATTTGGGCTTCTCTGTTTCTATCTGCATTGTAGGATTGTAGCAGGTTTTGGTTCCTACTCTAACACTATCTACAAGTTTTACATTATACAGTTCCTACTCGTGTATGTGGTTTCCTTGTCACTATTTGGAGAGATTTTTAGTTGTGCTATACTGCGGCTACTTGTGGGATTTTACGAGTTACTACTAGTGTGGATCTAAAAATCCCTTCGACATCAATCATATTCAAGTGATTCTATATTGATTTTTCAAAAGGAGACTGGATATAAGATAAAACTTTACCAAATATTTCACCCTCTTATGAGGGCTTTATAATGTGGTTGAGGTTTCTCATTCGTACACAGACCTTATGGGTAATTATCCCTCTCAATCATGAGATAAGTTTCGATTAGGTCTAGTCTATAAGATCTATAATGCTTTAATAGCAATAATTTGGACAAGAAATAAATTATTGTTGTAAGCTCAAAGAGGATGGCGGGGAAAAGGAGAGAAACTCGATCTTAATTCATGATTCCATCATCCTAAATTATCATGAAAGTCAGTGAAAATAGTTGAACTAACCTAGCCAAATGACCCTTGCCAGCAATAATGGTTTGTGTTCTCCACAGCAACATCATAGACTTGGGATTAAAGCTTATTAAACAGGTCAATTTTAAATCAACTTTGGCTAATAATGGGCTGCATAGTCTATAGAGTAAGACTTATGGATCACAATTCATAGGCTTAGCCATAGGAGAACATGACATAAACATAATATAATCATGTTGTTGCAATTAGGATATCCAGCAGATTAAGATGCATATGGCACGTCCTTGTTTGAGTGAGTTTGTGTGAACCATATGGACTGGTTCAACTGAATTGTTCCACCATAATTAGAAAGCAGGCTGAGTAGAGAGAAATCAAGTGAGCAAGCACAAGCAGGCAAACTAGGTCAAGCGGGCTAGTGGAAATGAAATGAACGAGCGAGCTGGTTACCGTGATTTGATTGAGTGTGGCTTTCGGAGCGACCGTGGCAAGAAGAAGCGACTCCTCGCGTGGAATAAGTCAAGTATGATCATTCCAGTGGAGTCAAATTTAAGGAAGGAACAGTTTTCATGCGTGAGAGAAATTTTTTCCAAAGACTTCACTTATGTTAGGTGAAGTCAATCGGTAGAGAGAGATGGACTATTCGATTCTAAGCAACATAGTACTTGACTGAGAGCAAAAATGATATAAAGATGAATTAGTGAGTTTTCAATTTCAGAAAAGTGTAAGATAAAGTTCATGTAGTTGATAGGAGAAAAGAAGAAGTGTAAGTAATTTCCTATTCAAATTTAGAATGAAAAAATGTATAATTTTAATTTTGACTAAAACAGTGTTGTATGATTGTTCAATAGAAGAAATCGAATTGGTGAAATTCTCGATTCGATGAGGAAGTAAATTTGAGGTAAGCAATATAAACTTTATAAACCTCATTTTAATCATTTTCTAGGATATAATAAAGTATGTAATTAAACAAATGAATGAAATGAAATGAAATGATTATTTGAAGGTCTTTGATGGTATATTTAGCAATATTCGATGTATTCAACATTATTTTTGAAGACTCCTAATGCATCCGATGTTACTTTGAGAATGTTTCATATCTTAATATCAAGACTAATAAAATTTAATGCCAATATTGTTATTTTGGGTAGGTGAGGAATTTAACTATTAAATTGCGACAAAGAACCAAAATTAAGCAAGGGTTCTTCAGAAAATTTAGGTAAGATTTTAAAATGTAAACCGTGAATTAATTTAAAGTTTATGAAAGTATAGTTGTAAGATAATAGTGCAGATTCATGTAATTATATACGTGAGCTTAGGTGTTGCATTAAAGAAGCCACATAAGAATTGAAGAAATTTACAAAAGATTCTAGCACAAAAAGTAGCAAACTGGGTGATTATAATTTTATTATAAAAGTTCTATTTTTGTAATTTGTTTTTTAAAGTAATTATTTGATACTATATCATGCATGTGTAGTTGTTACATTTAATTAATATATTGTATATTAAATTGATAAAAACTAAACAATCAAAGCTATATCCAAATGTGAAAATTGCTTATATAAATTAATATGTAATGAAAATGAAAATGAAATAAGTAAAATGAATCATAATATATAAATGGCAAGTATTGAAAGAAAAAAAATATATGCAAGCAAATACAGGAGTTCACCCCTTTATAGTATTAGTTGAGGACGTAGTATATCCATACACAATAAATAAAAATGATAGTACTTTCATTGGCACAAAATTTTCACGGTGCTCATGTAATAAACAAACTTTTTAAAGAATAAAATTAGAGAAAGTAACAAAAATAGTCCCTTGCCTCTATATGAAGGATTAAAATGTTCCCCGACAATATTAAGTAACATTTTGGTCCTTCAACCTTTTAAAATAGAATCAAAATAGACCCACCAGGAGACTATTTTGATTCATCTTTAAGAACTTGAGGGGCCAAATTAGTCTTTTAATATGGTTGGGGATGATTTTGGTCTTTCATAAATAATCATTGGACGATTTTGGTCCTTTTCCCAACAAAATTTTAAGGAAATAGAAATTTTGAAAAACATTCTGTCAATTAAGAAATTACAATATTCACATTTATATTAAATAGTATATATATTAACTGAAAATTTTGATAAATGAATATGACTATTTATGTGCATATTTAATTGTTATACTATAAACTGTTATTAACCACTGAGTTGTAAAGGTTTAAAGTTGTACTCTGACTGTGAAGCTTGCACACCATGAGGGGAGGTGAATTGGTGATTTTATAAATAAAAACTTTTTGAATAAAGACTAAATGCTGATTTTATGCGGAAATGTTTGAATAAACGAAATAACACACAACAAAGCAAGCGCGAATGTTTATGTTTT